ACTATTTCCTGAGAGGGGTGAAGGAGGCTATATACATTAGGGTTCAAGACCCTTCTCTTAACCGAGACGGGGGCCGACATCGTCTACCAGATACCTTTGACCCAGTGTTGACCTTACACTTCAAAAAAAGCAATGTGACAAGCCTCACAGGGTCAGTCTACTGAGGACGACCAGAATGACTGGTCGAAAGCTCTAGGTGAGAGAATTTTTTTTGAGTTGGATTGAAAGCTTTAACTCTAAACAGTCTGGTCAGCTTTTATCACTATGTGTCAGCTTTTAGTTTTAGATAAGGCCATGTTGATTTGATTATATGGATGACATCCTCTGGGAACCCGGAAACTGACACGAGCGTGCGAATGAAAAAAAGTGTGACCAAAGAAAATGTTGACTTCATCATGAAATCTGCATGGTCATTAAGGTGGAAGAAAGTGACTGAACACACAGAGTATGGTATGGCGAATAATGTGGCACTTGTACCAAGTAAATGATAAACGCACAAATGCATTTGATAGACCAAGATCCAAGTGGTACATGTACATGTATAACATGCATTTGTACCAAGTGAAGGTATTGAACAATAGCATTGCCTTTCTGTATGTACAGTTTGTACTGAAATAAATAAAATGGTACACTAGCACGTCGGCAGAACGTACTGCGCCTGCGCAGAACCCCGTATTTTCGCATTTTTCGTTGGGTTTTTTTGGTCAACGTTGCATCAGAATTTTGCCTGTTGCAGAGGATATTCTTTCCGACATAACATTTGGAAACTACTGTCGAAATGCTAACCGTATATGAGCGAATACAACCTTATATGAGACATTCTGCCGAAATACTATGTACAATACATTACGGGTTTCGCGCAGGTGCAGTACGTTCTGCAGTGTATGTGCTTGGTACACCCCTACTGCTAAGAGGTTAACAGTTGTGTTGTTGTGTACAGGAAGTGGACCTGGTGAGGGGACAGGTACAGCGACTGGTCTCCCTCCCCATGTGGATAAACCTGCTACCAGTAAGCAACGATTTTACAACATCTTTTTTGCATCAAATTATTCTTTCAGTATGAAAAAAAAGAGTTAATCTCTGCACTTCATCGTCAACAGAACTGATTTAATGATTTGTTTTTTAGGCTCGTCTACAGCAGGAACTGAAGGCTACACCAAAGTTGAAGAAGTTCTGGAATGTGCTGAAAAAGGCAGACTCTCGATTGAATCCATCTGCTCTGGAAAGGTATTTCCATGGTCAAACTCACTCAGTCAGTCAGTCACTCACTCACTCACCACTCAATCACTCAGTCACTCACTCACGAACGAATTAACTCAGTCACTCACTCACTCAGTCACTCACGAACGAATGAACTCACGAACAAATGAACTCATGATCACTCACTCACTCACTCACTCACTCACTCACTCACTCACTCACTCACTCACTCACTCACTCACTCACTCACTCACTCACTCACTCAAATAATCTTAGTGACAGTTACTATAGTCAACCACTATCCTCAATTTTATAGTACAATCACGGTACACTGTAGAGATAATTCATGCTTGTCTGGAATTTCTAAAAGTAATCCAAAACTTTTTGAAAATTAGGTTAATGGAACAGTTGGTAGTATAATCCAGATCTAAGGATGAATATTTATCAATACCACATTTGTTTCAGATCTGTTTATGACAGACAGTTTCTGTATCACCTGATGAAGAAATTCTTTGGTACTTTGGACAACATTCCTGCCACAGGTAATGTTTGGGAAGAGTCTTTGTGGGGAATACTATGTAATATGCATTGAGTTTGGTGTAGTGATTAAGTTCTGCAAAAAAACTGGGCAAAACTGAAAGGCTGTCTTAAATTGTCAGTCTACACGATATGTTGGTTTTGCATAACTGGTAAACCATCTTTAAGAGTTTTACACTTGTGTAAGACAGGACTGTAAGGTTTGATCCACAAAAATGTACTCAAAGGGAGATGGACCCCTAATATTTTCGTTAAGCTTAGCAGGATCTTTAATGTGCTCAAATGTAGGGCCTCCATCTTTGTGTCTCATCTGAGAATACATTTCTATCCAAAGCAACGTTTCTATCCAATACATGTACTCATTTTCACACTGAGTGAAGAAACAGTAATGTTGAAGATACAGTTGAAAATAATTTTTTGACCCAGGTTGCCCAGTGGGCAACCTACAGCAAAAATTAGGTTGCCCATCTGAATTTTAGGTTGCCCCACCTATAAGTTACATGTACTTTCCTCAAATTAAGTAATGTTACATACATACATGTAAGCCTTTGACAGTATTTCTAACAGCCTTTAGTTAACTAATACTAGTAATAGACATTAATACCTAAAATTAAAAATCATCTGCAGGCTACAGTGGTGCAAGCCAAGTGGGCATGATTTTAGGTGGGCATTCTTAAAATTCAGGTAGCACACAGGGCTACCTAGGTTCAAAAATGGGTTGCCCCAAGTAAAATTTGGTTGCCCGGGGCAACTGGGCAACCAGGTATTTTGCACGCTGGCCTTTCCCAAGGCCACAACATTGGGGCCTGCAAGGGATTCGAACCCTGGAAGTTTAGATTCTACATAATACATGTAAGTCAACAACTCAATATTCAATGTACCCTACACACAGTTGATCCACTGCCCCTACAGCCTGAAAAAGGCTATGGAACTACCTTTATCCTTACCAACATGTCCTACATGTACGGTCATTGTACATGTACTTGTGGTGTAATGTGTGTTGTTTTTTTTACTTTTTGCCAGGACCAGTAGAGATGGACAAAGTTCACTACTGTGAGAGGTTCATGGAGCTGATGATTGATCTAGAGGTATGTGCAGAGGTTTCAATTTGTTGAAACATCTAAATTTTTAAAATTGCTGTTCAGTAAAATAATTCTTTCAATCAGTGACTATTAAATCCTAAGGTACATACCTCCGAATTTTCTACGACTAGTCAGTTCGTCTTGGTCACCGAATAATCCTAGTCTCGCAAGATAACGCGAGACTAGGACGAGACTTGCATGGATCTTCTGCCCCCTATATGTACCTTACTAATAGGATTTAATAGTCACTGATTGAAAGAATTATTTTACTGAACTTGTACTATACGTGACTGATGAATCTCTTCAACGTTAAAATTGCTGGGTTTTCAGTTTTTTTTTCCGCATATTATTAACCAGAAAACTGCCTTTAGGCACACCACATCAGTTTTTGTACAATAAGTACAAGCTGCGTAATACCAGACTGTAAGGTTTGAACCACTCACAACGGGAAGGACCTCTACTCTTTCTATAAATATAGTGTGGAGGTAAAAGGCAGTGGAAGGAGAGGTGTGGGCTCTGTCTTTCAGTACAATGCCCTAGACACATTGGACTAACAACCCACTGCCCTTACGGCCTATAAAAGGCTATGGAACTCACCATTACCTTTTTTCCCTAAAACAAATGTAGGCCCTGCTACCCACAAGACGTTGGTTTAACACACTGATGGACGACTCTCACCTGGTGGTCAAGTGTCGACTGTCTAAACTGACCAAAAAGGAGGAAGGCAGGCTCTTCAACCAGGTAAAGACCATTTCACTTTCTGTTTGAATGGAAGAACAGATTTCTGAAGCTTACAATGTATAATTGTTGTTCATCACGTTGGCAGAACACACTGTGCCTGTGCGAAATCCGTAAATGTATTGTGCATAGCACTTTGGCAGAACATCTCGTTTAAGGTTGTATTCATGCCACATCGATTTAATTTTATGGATGACATCCTCTGAAGACCCCCAAACTAGTGCGCACGGGCGAATAAAAAAAAATCTGACAAAAAATAAAAATGCTACTAAACCACAAGAATACATAGCTTGTATTGTAATTTTGTGTCCGTACGTATATGACAAGACAGCACAGGCTGGCTTTTTCCAGAATCAGCACTGTACGTATGTACTGAGTTCTTGAGTCGTGGGACTTCGCGCGTCGACGTCGGTAGCCTGGGTGCCATCCTCTAGATAGGGTTACCACCGGCTCCGTATTGTCGCTAACTACCATGGACTACCCAGGCCAAGAGCCAGGCTAGAGCCTCGGAGGACGTGATCTTTTTTTTTTCTTGAGAAGAGGCGAAAATCAATGCGCGCGCGGATGTCATCCATAAGATTAAGTCGGTGTGGCCTTATTTAAGGATATAACATTCTGATGATACTTTTCAAATGTTGTGTCCAAAAAAATATCATCAGATTCTGCAACAGGAAAAATTCTGATGCAACGTTGAACAAACATCCAACGAAAACTTTGAAAAATCTGCATTTTGCATAGATGCAGTACGTTCTGCCAGTGTACTAAGTCTTGTGCCAGTCACTACAGTGCAATCTCTGCAATCAGTGCTATCAGTGCTATGACACACTCTCCTGATTACGCAAAATTTGACATACCATACTTAGCCGTGCATCAAGATCTCCCCTGGACGTTATACCCAAGAGGGTTTTGTGCCAGTAGTAATAAGAAGAAGATACTCCACACACTTACTCTATGCCCGTAAGTTTCTGACTTATAATGAAAGCAAACCTTCTGGTAGAGTACATGTACATTGTATGTGTTATAGGCCCGCTTTACACACACCATTTCTGAGTCGAGTCAGCAAAAATTATGTTCACAGATGGGGCCGCAAAGCGACCTAGCACTCCCGCTGTGCCACCCTCTCCCCAAGTCGACTCGGTGGCTCGGTCTTGCCTGACTACTACGCAGATATGCTCATGTTGACTTTGCCCATTTACACACGCAAAGTTAGTGGACTCGGCACTCCGCTGGCCGACTTAAGTCTGGTTTGGATACGACTGAAGTCGTCTTTATTATGATGTGACTTGAGTTGAAGTACTTCTCTTTACACGGAACTTTTTGCTCAAGTCGACTGGCTCAAGTCGTCATTAGTTGTAGTTGATTTGAAAAAGTTATGTGTAAAGCAGGCCTTAGTCTATCCATACCCTTCCTTTCTTATTGTTACTTGTATGTTCTGCCAGCTCCTAGACAGGCTGAAGTTTTATGCCGGCTTCGAGATCAATGACCAGACAGGGGAAGCTCTGACCGACCACAACATGACAGACCTACACTACAACAGGATCACATCTCTACAGGTAAGGTCTGCACAGTGTTCAGACTTGAAGCTTATTTTACAGAATATTCTTGGATAATAACATAGGAGGCACATTGGAGTTGAATATTATAGACTACAATGTCCATTGCAAGTTGGATTGCCTAAACACCAGAGGGAGATGTGGAACAAATATGTATCATGACGTGTGTGTGTATTACATGTATGTGTATTATTACCATTTGTATCATCTGATTGTAAACCCTGCATCAATTCAGCACTATAAGGCTGCGATTGCATGGGTGGTGTTTGGCCAATAAACGATTTATTATTATTGTTCATACATGTTTCAAAAAGAGAGAAGAGATCCTGTAGTTAGATCCTGTAGATAGAGAAATACTGTAGCACACGAATGTAACAATTGCTTCTTCTATTCTTATTACCAAGTTATTTAACTTAAGTGCATGTGGCCTGTGTAGGGCGTGAACATGCAATAAAGTTCTTTTTTTTTTTTTTCTAATCAGTGCAAAGTGAACCTGGTCTTAACATCGTATATCGATGATTTTCGGTTCAATACAATGTCACATCAATTCCCCTCGTTAAATTGCACAGACACATTCGATCCCAAAATTATCAGATACATTATACATTATACATGTACATAATACATAATTGCATGGTACATAATTAATTGTCATAAATTAGAAAATCTCTAAGAGTTCAACAAGAAACTGTTTACAGCAGTCTTGAACTTAGTCATATTGGGACTGTCAGGGAAGACCGAGGCTGGTAAGGAGTTCCACAGCCTGCTAGTCCTTGGTACATATGAAGACATGTGGAGCTGAGTGTTGGATTTTGGCACTTTAACAAGGTATGGGTGCCCACTTGTGGTTGAGTGAGTTACTCGCGTTCCAGATACTGAGATACTTAGCGCTTTGGTCGGCAGAATTCCAATGAGTTCCTCTGAGGGTTGCAGGAAGACATGCCGGTAAAAGGTACTCAGACTGGCTACTTTTCTCCTGTGTTCCAAGGGATATACTCCAACTTTTTGCGGATCCCCAATTTGGAGCTGACGTACAGCTTTCTTCTGAATGCTGTCAAGTAGTCATTGTCATTGTCATTATTATAGATTTGACCGGTTTGGACTAAGGATGATGCAGAATACACCAACTTTTATCTTAATATTCATGTCATATCAGATTGAGAAAATGCACATTTCAATATAAAACCTTCTACCGGTTTGGACTAAGGATGATGCAGAATACATAAACTTTTATCTTAATATTCATGTCATATCAGCTTGAGAAAATGCACATTTCAATATAAAACCTTCTACCGGTTTGGACTAAGGATGATGCAGAATACATCAACTTTTATCTTAATATTCATGTCATATCAGATTGAGAAAATGCACGTTTCAATATAAAACCTTCTAGATGTTGAGAAAATTTGATATCCATTAACGAAATATTCCAACATCTGAACCCGGTGTCATATATTTGTTGTCCATATTCACAGTCATATAAAATCATGCTATGTCTTACAGAGGGCTGTATTCAAGCACTTTGAGGAGCTTCAGAAGTTTGCCTTTGCAAACGTAGCCAGTATAGACACCAGGGAAGCCCTTCAGTCACACTTCAGTGCCATGAGGTATGTACATGTAGAATTAGTAAAAGTATTTTTTTAGCATGTTTACCTTTATGCTGGCTATTTTTTTCTCAGTTTGTTCTTCTTCTCCAAACACATAACCGATAAATTGCCTTTTTGTGACACACACATGCAGTTAAAGTACAAGCTGTGTAAGACCTGACTGTAAGGTTTGAACCAATCACACCAGGAAAGACCCCTGCTCATTTCAAAGTGTGGGACCTGCTGGGATTCGAACCCTGAACCTTCAGATTATGAGCCAACAACCTTTAAGTTTACTATATTATATAAGACTTCTTACCACCTCTTGTTGCGAAATTAAGTCTCTGTAAACATGAATAAATCTACAGTAACATGTATCTTCTTTTTTTCCTTTTCCTAGTGCCAAAAAGCTGCATGAAGTGTGTGCATACCTGAACCTACTGCCACATCCTGAAGGAGATGGGGAGACCTCCCCCTACAGTCCTAACCTTCTTCTGGAACTGTTGGTAAGGAAGCATGGCCTCATGGCCAATTTAAATTGCAGTTCAGAGCTCGAAATACTTTTTCTGCATACCTGAGTAAAGTTAAAAATTATTACACATGTACCTGCACCAGACAAATTTTACCTGCATCACAGAATTTAGGAAGCATGGATTGTACTCAAAACTGTTCAGAAACCATTTAAAATTTTTTTTTCAAATTTCTTTTCTTCTTTATGCCTTTTTATGGGTGGCAACATTTACTTCAGCTAATAAAAATGCACACCTACATGACTGTATGACTGTAATGTTATATATAAACCTAGTGCATGGACTGGGACAGGATAGGTGCAGGTAGACATCAGAGACCTGCTTTAATTTTATTCCATTTTATGTTTCTTGCATTAAATACTTCTTTATTTTGTTTAAAGTTAAAACTTTTGGTCCAACACAAAAAGTTCTCTCACTTAGAGCTTTCGACCAGACACTCTGGTCTTCCCCAGAAGTGTGACGTCAACACTGGGTCAAAGGTATCTGGTAGACGATGTCGGCCCCCGTCGCAGTTAAGTGAAGGGTGATGAGCCCTGATTCACCCCTCTCAGGAAATAGTCTTGTTCAGTGTCCAAAATCCAAACTTCTTTGTTTTGTTGTGTCCAGGTGTCACGCCATGAGCGTAGACTGTCTCAGCTGGAGGCTCTAAACGAGATGCCGCTCTATCCTACTGAGGAGATCCTGTGGGATGAGAACATTGTTCCCACTGAGTACTTCTCTGGTGAAGGTAAGGACAACTTTGTCAGGGCTCGAAATGCTGGGTGCATGTGCACCCAAAATTGGAGCTATGCACCCAATTTTTTTCTGGTAAAATATTTTTGTAGATATTTTTGTACATATTAAATAATAGTATGCAGAATATTCAAGCATCAGAACAATAATAAAATCTTTGTTGTAATCCTTGTGTAAGATTTTGAAGTTAGTTCCCATTTCAGATTCAAGCTTAGAAGAGGAGCATTAAGATCTGTAATTAGGTTTTGTTAGGTTTTGTAAGGCCACACTGAGTTAATTTTATGGATGACATCCTCTGAAGACCCCCAAACTAGTGCGCGCGGGCGGAAAAAATAAAAATCCGGCCAAAAATAAAAATGCTACAAAACCACAGGAATACAAACCTGGTATTGTGAATTTGGCGCATTACATAGCGACAGGCCGACACATGCTGGATTTTTGCGGAATATGAATTGACACTGCTGTACGTATGTACTGAGTTCTTGAGTATTGGAGCTTCGGTGGCCTGGCTGCCGTCAACCAGAGTTATCACCACCATGCACTACCCAGGCCTAAAGCCAGGCCAGAGCCTCGGAATACGTGATCTTTTTTTTTTGAGATCGGGCGAAAATCAATGCGCGCGCGGATGTCATCCATAAAATTAAATCGGTGTGGCCTAAATG